ACCTTGAAGGTTGAATTCGGTGTATTTTAGTTTTTGACTAGAACCATTCTTTTTCTTCCCTGAAAGTGCACAATACCTCCCAAAGTGCAACAACTGCAACAGTATCAGGAGCTGATGGTAACAGCTGAGTCATATGCACTCAAATGAAGGAGCACACACACACAAAATAACAGGACTCTAAGAGGAACCCAGGTATTGTGAAAAAAATAGAGGCAGAGGTTTAAGGCCTGAATCTTGGTGGGTGCTTGGAGTTTTCATCAGGCATCTGCCTCAGGTGTGAGTCAACAAATCCACCAAAAAAGTATCTGGGTTCTGTAGTCACAGAATGAGTTGAATGTCTATGGGGTTGATTTAAAGCATCAGAATTAAATGCCTTAATTCAAACTGTGTGACTGTGCCTGAGAAATAATGGAGGGAAGTGACTTAATATTGCTTGTATTTTCACTAGGAGACACTGAGGTACTCATTTTACCAGTGATGTATAAACATTACATGGATGTTTATATATTCTCCTAGTGAAACACGGACAAAAAGAGTTTAACAGAGGAAAGGGCAATATTAAGGGTCTACACACATGAGTCTGGTCCTTTCATATCTGACCTTCATGAGTGCAATACAGTTTTTTTATTTTTTAATTTGAAAGTATGACAAAGACCTTAGCCAGCAAAATTAAAGGCAAATACAAGTAATCTGAGAGGGCTTAGCTATTATTCAGGTGGCATCTTGAGATGCAGGGCAGTGGGGAAGGTGGCAGCAGTGGTCACATTTCAAGGAGCATTATTCCTCCCAGGGAAATGTGGAGGTTCAACATTTGTTATTTACCACTATAGCAGTTTCTGTTTCATTTCTGCTGTCACTCGCAGCATTCATACTACATCTGAAGTCAGCTGAAAACTGTTTTTTTTTTTTGTTTGTTTTTTTATGAGTTATAAAGTCAATATTCAGCTGAGTGAGTCTCTAAGGCTACAAAACCCGTTGTCTTTCTTTCTTGTCTTTTCTCTTCTTTGTATCTGGCAATATCTTGGAACTTTTACTTCCATATTAACTCTGTTTCCCCTATTTTGAAACTAATTCCAAAAACCTGCACTTTTGCACTTTTTTTGAAGCAAGGAGAGGCCTGTTTGCTGCAGTCCATTAACAGTCTATCAGTACACTTTGCTTTCTACTTATTTACATTTGAGTCCTTGCTTATAATGAAATCATTGCTGCTGAGCATAGAGTATTGCTACATGAACACAGATCAGTTTGCTTGGTTTTTGTGTACATTAATAAATTAGGGAAGATCAAATATCTCATGGAGCTGACACATACAGAACTGATCCTGAAGTAACCTTGTAGTCACTGTTCCAAGTTCAAGAGAGTGTATTAAGCCATTGCTCTGGAAAGGCAGTCCCAACAGCAAACAAAGATGGTGATTGAATGTTAGGTGATAAACGAGGTACAAGATAACAATTAGCTTCTGTGTTTGCAAATAAAGCACAAATTCAGGTGGTAGATTGCGTACTTGCAGATAAAGTGTTAATTGGATGAAGAACTTGAAAGCCTGGAGTACTGGAAGCTCAGAGCCATGGACAAGGTGTAATTGTGCTTAAATAGATAATGTAAAATTGCAAGGAAATGAGAAGAAGAAAAACTGAAGTTGTTAATTTAAACATACATAATTAAATGAGAAAAATAAATTAATAGTTTCCATGGTGCTTTGCAATAGCTATGGGAAGTTTTAACTAAAACTGTGTGTTTTTTAACAGTGTTTTATTGTGTTCTATATTTTATTTATTTATTTTTTAACCTAATAATTAAAGCTGATTCCTGACCAGTTCCAGAATACCATTCTCTATAACATTTCTCCAACTAGCTACTCCTGTCACTCTAAGTAATGATTAAATCATAACAAAAAGTTACATCAAGAGTTTACAGAAATATAAATACAGAAATCCATTTATAACTTAGCTTGTAAAAGTGAAGGAAAAAGGGAAAAAAAAATAAAAGGAAAAAAAAAGAGAAAGAGAAAATAGATAAAAAAGAAAAAATACATTAAAAAAAAGAAAGAAAAAAAAGAAAAAAGACAGAAAAAAAAAATACAGCTGGGTAACAAAGAAAATATATTGCAATAAGTGCCAAAGAGAATTTTAGTGTATGCGGCTGAAAAATCTAAGATGGCAAAAAGAGATCCAAAGTGTCTTTACAAAGATAAAAAGATGGATAAAAGGATTTGAAAGATACAGAGGCAGATCTATAAATTAAAAAAAAAAATAAAAAATATTCTAAGAATAAAGCGGATCCTACACACACTGGGATTCTATACATAAATAGTTATGATAAAGCTGTGAATAGACTTACAACCCAGAAAAAGTCAAGATTATTTCTGCTTTACATTTGGAAATAATAAGGACATCTTTATTATATAAGGACATTCTCTAATGAGATTAATGAGTACATTCCAGTCAATAAATAGATGTCAAACAACATATGTCACCCGAATAACTTTTATCCAAGAGTCCTAAAAGACTTGGATGAGGGGAATGTTCATATACTGGTGTTAATTTGTAATAAACCTCAAAATAGAAGGGAAATGCCAGAAAACAGGGAGAATGTTGCTGTGCTAATACTGAGAAAGGACAAGTGGCCTACAGGACTCTTTAATCTAATAGAGGAAGGGATATGAAGAACGTGTGGCCAGCAATTGGAGCAAAACAGATTCAAATGAGAAATTAGTTGCAATCTTTACCAGGGAGGCTGGTCAATCTTCAGATGAGTTACCATGGGAGGCTGCAGGACTTGCATCTCTGGGTGTTTTGGGGAAGCTTAACACAAGGAACGGATCAGTCAAAGAGACACCCTTGAGCTCCATGCAGGAGAGAGCAGATGAAATGCTGTGGCCTGCAACGCTCAGGTGTCAGACTGGTGTGGTCTGATGAGTCCTTCCAGCCTCAAGCTTTGGCAAATTGTGGATCAATAATGGTAACAGCCATCATACTCACAATGGCAACCACAACAGCAACAGTAACAGCAACATACTTTTGAATTATTACGTTGTGCCTGAGATGTAAAGGGCCAAATCCTAGCTAAGGGATGTTGCCCAGGAAAGTGGATTATCCTGTGTGGGAAAGAGGTACGGTTTGGGGCCTCTGAAGTTCTCCCAATTCAACTGAAGCCCTACAGAGAGGCCTTCTGATTCAGAATGGTTGTCTTGAGGTGAGATGAGGAGAGAGCTGACCAGATGTGACACCCATGTCCTGCCATCTTATGATGTGGCACTGCTGGAAAAGGACCACAGCAGCACCTGAGGCCCCTGTGCCCCCTTTGTCTGCTCCCCAAATATGCCATTTCTGGGGAGCATCAGCACCTGCACCCTCAGAGGTGTAGGCAGAAGGGATTAGTCAGAAAGACGAGTCCATCACTAACTCTCATTTGTGAAAAACGTAATTGACTATGGCATTCTTCCTTACTGGGGAAAAATGGGGACCCTGTAAGGCATCCATGGTCAGGCTGTAGATGAAAACTTCACAAAGATTTAAAATAATCTAATCATAACTTTGGGTACATCTTCTTCTCCTTGACCTGATCATTATCTTTCATGTAATAAGCACCTACTATCTATCAGATTAAACTAAGCAAACTTTCATTTGACATATCCTGTATAAAACTCTCAGGAGGTTAACGTTTTTAAATGAATGGGATTGTGGGGTACCCTTCTCCCATAGCTTCAAGCGTGAGGCATTGATAAAACCTTCCCGTGGGCCTTTCTGGGGAGAAGCTACCCTGAAGCTGTGGCATGGATGTTGAATCACAGGGGACTAAAACACTCTTTTGCTGCTTCACATCTGGAAGAGGCTCTGCACCTTGTAATGCCTGCTGCTGCTTTCCTCGCTTCCTCACAGGGAGACAGAAACCCCAAAACTTTCTCCGATGTGCTTAGAACTAACATATCAAACCATTCTTTGCTTGCTTTAGAAGAACTTAGTTGCATATTTTCATGATCAAAATTTTCATGTGTAACTATTCTAAATGTAGAAATCTTTGCACAAATAATATATATATATATATATTTATTTATTTTGTTATTGCGGTTTGCAATATGTGCAACAGTGTAATAGGTTTTGTCATTTCCACATGGACACTCTTAGCAGTTGTATCAGCTATTTAAATGACTGATCAGTTCTTTTTGGTACAGGTACATTTATTTGCCTTTGCAGGCATATTGTTTTGTCTCAAATCTGAAACAAGATATCTTCTGAAAAATAAAATATACTTTTTTTCTCATGAATTGTATAGATACTGTCATGCTCAGTACAAATTTTATGGTTTCAGTTTAATTTCTCTGTGCTGTGCTTGAGGACAAACCTTCGGATGTTTTGTGTCACATGTACTTTTTTGTAAAAAGGTAATGTTCTTGTTGAACATTTTTATGTTATTCTCCTGCTTCTGGAAAAAAAAAAAAAAAGGCAAAAAAAGGTACATAAAGCAATTGCAAATGTGCATGAAACTTTCTGGGAATGAACTTGATAAAATCACTAGTGAAAATTGGTTTTAGTGTATCCTTCAAGGCATTAGGATTGTGATTCTTGTTCTCATATGAGGCCTGAGGTGTTGGCAGTGTCATTGCTCCCAGAATGAACTGCTGACAGTTCACCCCAACAGGACTGCTTGCATACCTGAAGTCAGGCAGTGCAGGAGGGTTTGCAGTGACAGGCTCTGTGACAAGCAGATGTGCTCTGGCCTGCAAGCTCCTGGGGTGAACAAGAAGTCATCAGCCCTCTGAGGGCAGCAGGATGGGCAGCCCTGTGGTGATGCAGAGTGCGCTCAGGCACCAGAATTGCAAATGTCCCTTTCTATTCCTCTTCCCCCTCTTTCCCTCATGAAGATCAGGTCTCTGACACCATGACATTTATTTTATTCTCCAGCCACAGTTGTTCCAGATGCCCATAGAAATTAACAGGGGACATTACGGCTAGTCTGGTTAACTCCTTTTTGTTTGTTTGTTTCTTTCTCTTTCCCAGTTTGACATACCCGGTGCGTTGGCACAGTCACATTGCAAAAGCAAACAGTGAGAAGTGAACCCTCTGCGGGCAAACCATCAGCAGCAGGGGCAGCATCCCTTGAGCATGCATGGGTGTCATGGGCACACGCAGCAGGACCACTGGCTCATGGGCAGCTGCTCCAGAAGGATGCGTTTCTGCAAGGGATGGTGCTGACATGTAGCAAGGATGAAGCATGATGGTATGGAAGAGCAAAGACTGGCACACCAGTTGGTCAGTGAAGGCTTTCTCCTTCTAAACCAAGCTTTGCAGCCCCAGATCCTGGTAAACGGGTGCCTCCAGGAGGTCAAGAAAGAGCCCAGATAGGCACAACGGCCGAGCACAGTGGTGGTTTGCAGCTCGAGGGCAGAGAGGAGCAGCTGGGTTGGCTGGGGTGGCACAGACCAACAGACCAGTCTGCAGCTGGCTGCCTGAAGTGGTTACAGATGCACCGCTGGACAGTGGAGTTGGAGAAGTGAGCTTTTGGGCCCCAGCTGAGTGCATAAACATTGTCCTTGGCTACCTGATACAGGCTGCTGTTTCCAGCCAGCAGAAATGTACAACTATTGTTACGTTTGCAAAAACACCTGGTCTTTGGTTAAAAAACAAGTTTATTTTACCAATGCCAAGTAGTTAATAAAACACTTATTAGCAAAGTATTTTTTTCTGAGGTAACTTCTGTTTATTACACTTTTAGAATATGGGCTGTGATGACAGTCCTATTTTACTTCAGGTACAAAATACAGATGATCATACAATCGAAAATACAACAATTCCTAACTTCAGTCTTCCCACGTTCTGAATAAATGTTGGTCTTGCAACAGAACAAAAAGATGTTGGCTTTTATTTTGTTTTGCTTCTGCTTTATGTTGTCTTTAGGAAAACTTTTTCTATTGACATTCCTATGCAATGTGATTCAGGGCGTGCACACTATGGCATATTTTATTAACATGTAAGATGAAATATGCTACCCATTGCAAGCCTTAATAAATATGAAAGCATTGCACAGTACAACAATGTCTGTGCCCACTGCAGAGCTTTAATTGCTTGGGAAAACTGAGCAAAAATTAACTTCACATCGTGAAGCTATAAAACAAATTAAGGACATTGAATCATCTGCAATGCCTCTGGTTATATCTACTAAATATTTTCTAACCATTCTAAGAAAGCAAAACAGAAGGCAAACCCACCATGAATAGAAACAATAATGGTCAGTAGCAAGCATTGCATGTTGTTTGAATGGAAAGCAATTTATCACTTCTGAAATAAAAGCTGTTTATTCTTGTGTTTCACTGTCTGTAGCAATCTTTACAATTTATCTGTGAAAAAGTGAGGCACTGTACCACTATTAGCATATGAATAGTTGACACACCAAATTGGCTGTACAATAACAGAAGGACATTTACTATTGGTGTTATGCACACAGACAAAGCAGCCATTTTTGGGAAGAAAAATAAAAAAAAAAAAAAAAAAAGAAAGAGAGAGAGAGGGAGAAAGAGGTGGTGAGGGTGTTTAACCCATTGCCTGTCTTTCTAGTTTCACACCACTGCTCTGATAGGGCAGCCTGGCAGAGCATCTGGAAGTCCCCAAAAACACAAGCACCCAGGTTAAATTCCGGGACAAAGATCATACATGATAAATGTGCATCCAGACTAGAAATCCAGTGCAGAACGAGCAATTCTGTGCATCTTTGCCCAAGGCAGGGGGTGGCGGGGTGCAGAGGCTGCGCAGGAATGAAGCATTGCTGTGGTACAGTTTTATTTCACGGGCCTTGGGTCAGATGTGTGAAACTATTTCTCAAAGAGGCTGCATACATAATTGAGGCCCTATGAAGGGCTCTCAGTTGAAGTTGCCAGGCTACATTCGTTTCTAAAGCAGGGCCATTTGTTATCAAATTTAAATTAACTCTCTCAGCGCTGACTTGGGGTTTACAGAACAGCGTGTCAGGTGGTACTAGCTGTTGGAGGAAGGAGGAGCAGTGCCTGATAACTGGCAGCAGCATCATTTCACAAAGAACAGGAACCTTGGTTGCGTTTAGGCCTGTGAAGTGGTAATTTTCATAAAAACAATAATAATTTGAGGGGTATGTTTGTGCCTTATTGTCTCATAGGAGCCATGGCCCTCTCAATGGTTTTTGTTTTGTTTTGTTTTGTTTTTTGTTTGTTTGTTTGTTTTGTCTTAAAAAAAATAAATCTTGATCTCAGCTTTAATTTGGAAATAAATTAATAAATCAATTAGTAAATCAATACTTGCTGTTGTGTTCCTGCAAGTATACTATGTATTCCTTATTATTATTATTGTTGTTGTTGTTGTTGTTGTTGTTATTTAATGAGTTTTCAGCTGTTTAAATACACCAATAGGCATCTGGGAAGATATTTGTAAGTTTCATCCCTGTGTGACCTACAACAGCTGGGCTTGATCCTGCCTTAGTCTTATCTTGCACCAGCAGACCTGGTAGATGTGACTGCAATGAGAATTTTGTCACATTTCAGAATGACTAAGGAGAGAAAAGATGCGCAGGCCAAACGCCCCAAAGCACAAGCATCCCTTCTCTGCATTTAGTGATGTTCATTAGGTTCATGCTCTCCTTGTGCTTGCCTTCAGTAAATATTTTAACAGGTGAGTGCCATTGGCAAAATATTTGTGGAAAGCTTGTAGTGGATAGGGGAAGAGCAACTGGACCGGGGCAATCCCAAGCCCAGTACAGGGTGAGTGGAAAATGGATTGAGAGCAGCCCTGAGGAGAAGAACCTGGGGGTGGTGGTTGATGAGAAGCTCGACATGAGCCAGCAATGTGTGCTGGCAGCCCAGAAAGCCACCCGTACCCTGGGCTGCACCAACAGCAGTGGGCAGCAGGGCGAGGGAGGGGATTGTCCCCCTCTGCTCTGCTCTGTGAGACCCCACCTGGAGCCTGTGCTCAGCTCTGGGGCCCCAGCACAAGGAGTACAGGGACCTGTAAGAGGGGACACATAGAAGGCCATGAGGATGATCAAGAGGCTGGAGCACCTCTCCCATGGAGCCAGGCTGAGGGAGCTGGGGTTGTCTGGAATAATGTCTTTAAAGTAAAAAATTAGATATTTAAATTAGATATAAGAAGGAAATTCTTCATTCAGAGTGTGGTGAGGCCCAGGCCCAGGCTGCCCCAAAGGAGCTGTGGCTGCCCCATTCCTGACAGTGCCCAAGGCCAGGTTGGACGAGGCCCTGGACAACCTGATCTAATAGCTGGCATCCCTGCCCATGGCAGGGGGATTGGAACTAGAAGATCCTCAAGGTCCCTTCAACTGGGAAGGGAAGGGAAGGGAAGGGAAGGGAAGGGAAGGGAAGGGAAGGGAAGGGAAGGGAAGGGAAGGGAAGGGAAGGGAAGGGAAGGGAAGGGAAGGGAAGGGAAGGGAAGGGAAGGGAAGGGAAGGGAAGGGAAGGGAAGGGAAGGGAAGGGAAATGGAAACTAATTTTGCAATCTGCTCACAGATTTGACAAGAGATTAGAAAATGGCTAAATTTATCAAATGAATTATTAATCATTAATTATTTGCTCTGTCTTGTCTTAAACTAGGTTTACTCAGGCTAATCAGCAAAGATATTCCAACAATTAAGCCCAGCAGAACATCCCAGCTGTGCACATGATGTGTGTGTGCCTGAACATATTGTTGTACATTGCAGGCATTTTTAGCAAGAAACAGATGCCCATACTTTTAAAAATTCTGTATGAAGGACAATGACACTTTTCCCAGTAAGTTTTGTTTCAAAGTATTAAAGGTTTATATTTTTAGAGCTTTTAAACCTGAATTTTTTATCCAATTCAATTTGACGTTTCTATTTTCATATCCCTGATAAATTAGCTTTCCTAGCTAAGTGTAAGACTTACCATTGTGAAGCTTAATGTACTGTGCTAAATATAACATTTTTAACTATCCATGTTTTTCTTTCTTGAAACATAACCCTAGAGCATTTAACGTACATCCCTTCATCAGCATAAGATGCTGATTTGTCAGAGGCAAGTCAAGCCTGTTGTAGCTGTTGACACACATGCCAGCAAGACTGAACTCATCTCTGTGGTATCTGAAACTCTGGTTTCAGAAAAATGGCAAGAATATCACTGAACACTGTACCACTAAATACTGAAATTGCTTTTTCCCCATAAAAATGGACATTCTGGTTTTTAGTATTCATACAGCTAAAACATAAATAATTGTTTAAGCAGTTAACAGGTGACTGCCTCAGGTTGTCTGTCATATCGGAGACTGATCTGTCCTGTAATCTACAAGTATTTTCTGAAAAATCAGAAGCAAAGACAAACTGAAATAAAAAGTCAGGATAGTGAAGTTACACAGTACAGCATTTACCCTTTGATTTTTTAAAAGAAAGATATGTCATGCATGCATGCTCCTACACAGCCCTGGATATTATCCTGAAACGACAAACCATTTGCTTATTCAAAGCTCTGTGCAGCTAACAATGCTACAGGGCTAGTAAATCCTACCAAGCACTCTTTGAGATTCGTGTTTATTTACTGGTGGAGGTAATGTACCATACTTGTGTATCCATGACAACACTGTAACATGCCAGAGCAGCACTAGGTCTTTTCTTGCTATTCCAATATGAGATTAAAAGTAAGAGGCTAAATCTTATTAAATAGCAGAAGCTTTTCAGAAGATAAAACATAAAGTTTATGGGAGCATATGATAGTTGTTCATGGTACTATATTTGTGCTATTTCAATGCTTTTGTTAGGTTCATCTGCTGATTGTAAATAGCACTGAATGGTGAGCATACAAGGAGAGATAAAACTTTGCAGTTCCTTCTGGAGTTCTTAATGCAGGAACGTGGCTCAACAGTGTCAAGCTTGAACTGCTAAGAATATCCATTTTAAGGAGTATTAAATTGGATCATACTGTAATTTCTGTCTTTTCTTGAAAGGTGTTTCTGGTTCTTAACTATTTTCCGTTCACATGAAAAATACTTTGATTAAGAATGTTACGTAATCCAGTGGATTAGTAATGTAATTGCCTATTTATATTTATAAATCCATGCATTCTCTCAGTGCATTTGTGTTTGCCATGGCATTGATATGTTATATTGATATAATTGAGATGCAAATCGTGTATATGTTGTGGAATTTAGACATAAAATCAGAATTCAATTCTTTATAAGCCATTGTTTTACTTAATGTTACTCACAATTATGTTATGATTGCTTTGACAAAGTTTCAACATTTAAAGGTTTAGAAAAGCACCTTGAAAAGTTAAAACAAATTAACTCTGTGCAAGCAAATCAATGCAATAGAGAAAGAATTCCTTTGCTAGCAGTAGTCCTCAGAACAATATTTATCTTCTCACTCTTCAATAAATAATATGGTAGGCCAAATTCTACCATAGGTTTTTGGGCATTCATAGATTTAAATGACAAAAGATTTTGATTTAATATATCAGATGTCCTCTGATTATATTTCATTTTCCAGATGTGTTAGTATTCAAGCTATTGTACAAAGTATGGGTTTAACATGTTACCTATCATCTGATCACAGGATAAAGAGAGTTTTCTGTTTTAATATTGTCTGTTACAGACAGTCAATTGATTCACTATGATTAGAGGTGAAGAAGTCCTGAAACAATCAGTAAGCCTTAGCTGGAACCAACCTATTAAACAACTCATTAAACAATGTGGATTAGGATACAGCAGCTCTGGAAATTACACAAAAAGGACCTCTTGGACAGTACACAGTATCTTCTTATTAGTTTTCAGAATAACAGCAAAATAAAATGCAGAAGAGAGACATGGGTTTTAGTTTGCTGCTGATTTAATTTTATCATCAGACTTCAGGATGAGAGTTTTAGACAAGAGTTTTTCGTGTGTGTGTCTACTTCCTGATGTGTGCACTCACAAAAAAAGCTGTGAGTTTGGGGTGGGATGTGGGGATATAATCATTCCTATTGCTATCTGAGCTAGCACTTACTCTGTGAACTGAGGGAGAGCCTTGTGCTAAAGGCACCCATCTAAGTGCCTAAATTGCATTTTCAGCACTGAAAGGAGTGGAAGCTCGTCCCGATGCTATTCTAAGGTGTATTTAACTGTCTGGCATCCCCAGTGTTGCAAGAACAATATTTTTCATGATTCCAGTTTTGATACTGATGTCAAATTGCCATCTAAACAGCAGTGCAGAAATTCCTCTTTGAGCAATCTTTCTCCCTTTTCAGTTCATAGGCCGATGCTGTTCTGTCTCCTTTAATATATTCCTGTGATGTTGTTGTATAGACTTAACAGAGAAGACTCCTAAAGACAAAACAAAATGAAGATCCAGCCAAAGTCTTCCCCATAGCAGAAGGAGATGGGAACGAGATCTACTCCCTTTGGGTAGTTTTGGTTGCACATGTATAAGGAGGTAAATATCTCACATGATAGTATCACTTTCACAGACAAGGATTCTCCCTTAACCAGCGATCCCATCTAACTTGCCCGTGGGTGCCTTTTTTGGGAACCACAGGGAGGGATGCTGTGCCTGTGGCTGCTCAGAGGCTGCTGAAGAATGGGAGAGCGCACGAGACAAGAAGGGCCACCAACCATGCTGGCAGCAACTTTCCCTCCAGTGGCTGTCACTGTTTTTTTATCATTTTTACTTATGCACCCCAAGATCAGATCTCCTTTAGTGTTTCTGCCCAACAGTAGGAAATGTTAGTTTGCAAGCGATGTAGACTGAAACTCATGCAATAAGTCAATATAAAAAGAAGGCAGCAAATTAAGGGAAGGCTGAAACAAGCAACAAACTGAAAATTAAAATAATTTGCCAAAAATACTTGTTAAAAATGAAAGGCATTGGCATCCTGGCTTGTATAAGAAGCAGCGTGGCCAGCAGGGCTAGGGAGGTGATCGTCCCCCTGTACTCGGCTCTGGTGAGGCCGCACCTCGAGTACTGTGTTCAGTTTTGGGCCCCTCGCTACAAGAAGGACATCGAGGTGCTTGAGCGGGTCCAGAGAAGGGCGACGAAGCTGGTGAGGGGTCTGGAGAACAAGTCCTACGAGGAGCGGCTGAAGGAGCTGGGCTTGTTCAGCCTGGAGAAGAGGAGGCTCAGGGGCGACCTTATCACCCTCTACAGGTACCTCAAAGGAGGCTGTAGCGAGGTGGGGATTGATCTGTTCTCCCACGTGCCTGGTGACAGGACGAGGGGGAATGGGCTTAAGTTGCGCCAGGGGAGTTTTAGGTTGGATGCATAACCACGGTCCTCACAGCTTTTTGGTGATCAACATTGAGTGGCCAGCAGCACTTCTACTGCAAATCTATATCTATCAATAAAACTAAACTAAAACTATCAATAAAACACTGCATTTTATGAAATATTATATTAAAAATACAATAAAAAGCAAAATAAATACCTTAAAGAATAAGCAACATGATGCCCTTTTCTGCAATCTATTTCCACTTATAGGCACAAAAAAATGTTGGGCAATTTTACGAACTAAAATCCAAATGCAGGAGTGGGGAAAAGTTTAGCTGTTCTACGAATAGAGTACTGTAAATTTTGCTTGCATTGTCTAAGAGTAAGGTAAGGCAGTGGGACTGACAAAGATAAAGATGTAGGTGATAAACTTGCATTTTTGATTAGTGATGTGAACCAAATCAAGAAAATAGTAACTATGGAAAGATCTTGCATGGCCTTATAGTTTTCTCCTCATCAAAATGTTTTTCCAGTTTATTTTTTTTCCTCTGCATGACAGCAACCAGAGTGTTTGAACAATAACACTTTCTTAATAACAGGATTTGCCATTCTTATCAACTATGTTAGAGCAACCTGTTGAAGTTTTACTCAAATGCATCCTATTGACAAAGTTCAGCCCATAGTTAACAAATGTGTACAGTATGTAATATTTTCTGTTTGAAAACATCCCATTAGGTAAACTGTTTTTGAAGATCTCAGCTGATATTACGTGTTCAAAATGCAAGAAAGAAAAAATATTTTTATTTATTAGAGTCCAGATGTTCATTTATCTATTGTTCATATGCACACCTGTATACCGTTTACATAGCAAGAAAACACCAATGATTTTTAAATTTAGCTAATGTGTCACAGATATGCAGATGCAGATCTGGAACAAGTATAAAATCTCATGTTAGTAAGGAAATATATAAAACAGTGATTTACACTTTACGTTTTGTTTGTAGGATGACATTACTGACTCTGCTAGACAGAAATTGTTCCCATTACAAAAGTGGAAGTGGTCTGAAGAGATTTTGTTAAATGTGGCTCTGCTGCTGACATCGTTGACTGGAAACATAAGTCACAATACAGTACCACAAATTGAGTTGCCATCAGTTGCTCTGGGCACAAAACAGACAGCTAGCAACAGGTATATTGTAAAAAAGATTTATAGGTTCTATTTGATTCAGATAAGCATCCAAAAGCATTTAGGGTGGTTGCTGGGAGGGACTAATGGAAGGGATGCCAGTATGTTTCAGATGATGTTTTAGGGTACCTAAAAACAACCAGAGTTTGATGGAAGCAGCTGTTTCCACTATTGAAGTCTGTAATGTGCTTACCCAAAGCACATACCTTCCGTATAAAGGTACCAGAAATGCATGAACATTGCATGAACTTTGCACAGCAGTAATTTGATCGCAACATTGTTAATTATTGCAGAGAATGTGCATAGGCAAAAGTGAAAAGCAAGGAACAGCAGTTGTCATGATTAACTAAACTTGCCTCAGAAAAGAAGTAATCACAGCTGCAAACAGCATTTCAGCTGATCCTTACACAGAAAGGATTAAGGAAGAGTATCTGCTTCAGAAATGGGTTAGGTTGCCAGTGAGTTTGTTTCTTTCTTCCTTTTAAAGGTCCAGTTGTGAATTTCATTGCATCCTCTAAACTCTGAAGTTCATGCAAATTGAAATCTTCTATTCTTATTTCTGGTGCTATTATACCTTTAATATTTTGTCAAATTCTCCTTGTATATATATAAAAGTAGACTTTTTTATTTTATATTTAAATATAAACTGAGGCTGGATCTGTAGCCTCATCCTTAATAACATATTGATGTTTTGCCAGAGTTGAGGTGGATTTTAAATACTATAAAGGTGCGTTGTCTTTACTTCCTCAGAAAGGACTGCAAGACTCTTCCGCTAAAACTTGTTGGAGGCATGTTTGAAGTTTCTTTTAATGGTCTTAATCCCAAAATATGCACAACCAAAATGAGTTTTGCAGTACAATATGAATAATACCATACAAAATTTGATAAAACAGATTATAGAAGTACTATTCTTATTAAAAATATATATCTAAAAACCAGATTTCAGCCTGTCAAGATGTTTCAGAAGAATTCGTATATCTGTATTTAAGTTCAGTTCACTGTGAGTAAAATGCTATTTTGTAATTTTCAAATGCTTAAATGTAAGTGATGTGCAATTTGACTTTACAATAATATTTTTTTCTAATGCTTTTTTTTTTGCCAAAATTTGAACTGTAATCAAATGGATAGAATACACAGAATTTCAGTAAGAAAACAATTTTTTTTTTCAGTTGATAGTTTTATTATAATAAAGATTTGTGCTTATCAAAAAAAATTAAAAAAAAAATGGGATGATGGGATATCATCAACACACAGACATGATCCTTCCTGTTCTTATGGCTGTGACTCAGCCGAAATTCATTGGACTGGTTCTTGATCTACCTCCCTCTGACACTGGGGTTCATGGTTACGTGACATGCAGATGCTATTTCCATTAGTCTGAATACAAATATTAGACTAAGCAAATGTATGAAAATTCATCTCTCAGGCTTGCAGCCTACAGAGCACTGAGGTCCTTGGGTTGTCCTCACAGGAGTGGAGAAGGAAATTCACATCCCCTGTCTTTTGAAGCATCAGATTCAAGTTGTTTCATTGTAGTATGCTACATGCTTCAATACTCTACACACTCCCTGGTTGTTTTTTTTTTCTACTTGCATAGAAGCAGTCTGTATACATGGTCTGTTCAAGCAGCTTCCATGATATCTCTACCTAATGCTATTGTTTACTCTATACATGCCCACAGAAGTAAATTACAGATATGTCTTTTATACAGTGCTCTTAAATATAATTCTCTCTCTTCATTTTCTACAGGAAAAATGGAGCGTAGAGCTGACTTTCAACACTTGATGCACGTTTGGCAGGAGGCCAAGGTGAATCAGAATAAGCATCCAGAAGGATATGCCAAACACAAGAAAATCATAGCAACTTAATATGATTTAATACTAATAAAGCAGTTAAGGTTAATGGAAACAATCCTTGATCTTTTCTTCTTCTAATAAGTTTAAAAAGATTTTATAATGTGTCACATTTAGGGTTGATCCCTCCAGCTGGAGCTATCCATCACAGACTACGTGGAAACACTAGTTTTTGCCCATATCACAGCACCAAACCTCTTGAGCAAGACTTGTGGCAGAGGATGCAGGGTAATGGTGATCCACACTTTTTGCTGCTGAACCAATTTAAGCACGGGCTGAGACACTGCCCTGGCCTGGGCATCAGGTGGTTAGGACATGCAAGGAGGGGCTGCAGGAAGGAATTAAGCTCAGTGAGGTCCAAGTGATGGTTTCCTGAAGATTTGGTAGAAACGGGAAAATGTGAGAAAGCCCAAGAGGCTGCAGGTCTGAAGGAGTCCCTGGGCTGTTTCACACTAACCTTTATGTTGAGAACAAGCATGGAAAGTACCTACAGGGTTTGATGACAGGCACCCAGTTGTACACTGTTCTTCTGCTTATGCATTTTAACAGATTTCTTTCCTAACATATTTCTCAATTAGTTTCCTCTGAAGTAATGATGTCAGTGCTGCTATAATGTCAGCACTGTAAAGAACATTTGACTATAATTTGCTTTACCTTCAAATGGAGAGTAAAATTTAAAGAATTATTTATATTGAGTTAACAAAATGATCCCAGAAAGATACTTAAGCTTTCATTTAGCTCATCTGCTGTTTAAAATCAGGTGGCAGACATTATGTTCACACATCTGCTGCTTAATCTTATCATCATCATCATCACCATCATCTCACATGAACATAATTACTCTTTCTGTAATGTGTAAATTTGAATACAATGTGTAATAGCATTTTAACAACGGGTGGGAAATAATTGCCTTTTTCTCCTTAGAGTGGGCTAAATGGTGTTAGCAAATAAGTATGAACTGCATAAAGATGGGAAGTGTTACTTTACAGGATGCAGTTGTTATAAAGTTAAAAAAAATGCAGACAATTGTTGTCAGTTCTCCACAGAACTAAACTTAAAATTAGTTAGGACTTTAGGTTTTTGTGACCTGTAATGAGCTAGAAGTTTAGGCTAGACTCGCTCTCATTTGCAGCTACCATATTTAATCAATTTCCTGTTTCAGATGAAAATCACACAGAGCTTGTGACCACTGTTTTTTATACAGGCTGGCATCCTGTGACAAGTGGGGTCCCCCAGGGGCTGGTGGTGGGCCCCATGCTGCTCAACACCTTCATGGATGACCTAGATGACAGCATAGAAAGCACCCTCAGCAAGTTTGCTGCTGGCACTGCACTGGCTGATGAGGCAGACACGTCAGGAGTGAGAACATGGAGACGTGGACAGGCTGGAAGAGTGGGTGAGCAAGAACAGTGAACTTGCACCAAAGAAAAGTGTGAGGTTCTGCACCTGGGACAGGTCCCAAGAGCCCAGCCCTGCTGAAGGGGACTTGGCAGTCCTGGTGGACACCAAGCTGAACAAGAGCTAGCAGTGCTCTGCTGGAGCAATGAAGGCAAATCAGATCCAGGGCTGCATCCTTGGGGGCATCAAGCAGAGACAGAGGTGTGATCGTCCCACCCCACTCTGTGCTGGTCAGGCCACACCTGGAGCACTGTGAACAGTTCTGGTCCATGGGGTTCCAAACAGGCATGGACCGTCTGGAGAGAGCCCAAAGGAGAGCCATAGAGATGATCAAAGGGCTGGAGAAGCTGTCCTACAGCTGAAGACCAGAAGGGTCAGGTCTTTTCACTGTGGAGAAAAGAAATTTCAGACAATCCTCAGGATAACAGGATTCTGGAACTTAAACAGTGGCTGCAAAGAGGACAGAGGCTGAAGCCACATGGAGAAGACAAGGGGTAAAGGGTACAAGCTGTAACATGAGCGGTTTCATATTGATAAAATAAATTTTTTCAGTTTAGAAATAAATCGTTAGAACAACCTCCCGGGAGACACAGATTCCCCATCACTAGAGGCTTTTAAGATGTGACTGAGCAGGGTGCTATATAATCCTATTTAAGCTCCCTTTTCCATGAAATGTTGGTACAAATGATCTTTTGAGGTGTCTTCCAACCTGGAATGCTCTATTAAGGCAAGGCAAGGAGACATTGCAAAGTGTTGCAAATATTCCTGTGCCACTAAGAACAATGTATTTTGCAGCAGGATAATCTATAAAGAAAAAAAAAAAGTGCAAGACCAATTAACAGATCATGAATCTGCTGAAGTAATAATCCAGTTTCAGGGCTGTATATTTGGTTTTCTTTCCCTGCTGAAGAAATATGTTTAAGATGGGATCCAGGTGTCCAAAATGGGATAAAACTACATGACAGCTGCATGAGGTGGGAAGGAAAAGCATTTTCCAGCAAAAGCCTTTTGGTAGGGAAGTGAGCTCTTTGCTTCTAGGTCTTAATGGAAAAGTAGATTTGGGGACTATCAGTGTGGTGTGAAGTGAGCCCATGCTGAAAATTGCACGATGGTCTGCCACCACCATGAAAGAGACCATTAGTTCTACAAAAGGACTAGGTCACTTCATGGGGATGCTTCCCATTGCTGAAATATGTTTGAATGAAATTAATTTCTGAATAATAATTAAAAAAAAAAAGAAAACAAAGATTTTAATGGATGGCACTAGGGTCAAAGTTTAATGTTCTGAGTTCTGTTCTTTGTGATTTAAAACACAAAGAAACGTGGATGAAAATGCAGTTCAATTTCATCCTCTTTTCTGTGTCTTTTTGTAAGTATCTGTATAAATGACTACCTCTGAAAATATTCATATGGTTATAACCACCATCAGAAACTGTTTTTCACATCTTACAAATGATTTGTGTTTGTCTGAATGCTTTTCTCATTATATGAAGTGCAAAGTTAGAAGAAAGATGACACTTCATTTGTGGATCATTGTGTTTGACCTCTGTGGAAAGAAGCAGTTTATTTTATGGTATTTATTTTGTAATAAAGTGATAATGTTAACTCTGTTTTGTTTTGTTTTCCTTTGCTTTGTTTTGTTTTGCAGATGAAGCATCTTAGCCACATTCCATGAAACCATTTAAGATTGATTACTGAGAAATAAAGATAACAAAAAATGCTTTTATAAATACATCAACACAAAAAGGAGGACTAAGGAGAATCTCCATCCTTTACTGGATGCAGGGGGAAACTTAGTTACAAGAGATGAGGAAAAGGCAGAGGTGCTTAATGCCTTCTTTGCCTCAGTCTTTAGTGGCAAAACCGGTTGCTCTCTGGATACCCAGTACCCAGAACTGGTGGAAGGGGACGGGGAGCAGGATGTGGCCCTCACCATCCACGAAGAACTGGTTGGTGACCTGCTACGGCACTTGGATGTGCACAAGTCGATAGGGCCGGATGGGATCCACCCAAGGGTACTGAGAGAACTGGCAGAGGAGCTGGCCAAGCCCCTATCCATCATTTATCAGCAGTCCTGGCTATCAGGGGAGGTCCCAGTTGACTGGCGGCTAGCAAATGTGACGCCCATCTACAAGAAGGGCCAGAGGGTAGACCGGGGGAACTACAGGCCTGTCAGTTTGACCTCAGTGCCAGGGAAGCTCATGAAGCAGATCCTCTTGGGAGTCATCATGCGGCACGTGAAGGGCAAGCAGGCGATCAGGCCCAGTCAGCATGGGTTTATGGAAGGCAGGTCCTGCTTGACGAACCTGATCTCCTTCTATGACAAAGTGACGCGCTGGGTGGATGAGGGAAAGGCTGTGGATGTGGTCTACCTTGACTTCAGCAAGGCTTTTGACACCATATCCCACAGCATTCTCCTCAAGAAACTGGCTGCTCTTGGCTTGGACTGGCGTACGCTTCATTGGGTTAGAAACTGGCTGGATAGCCGGGCCCAAAGAGTTGTGGTAAATGGAGCCAAGTCCAGTTGGAGGCCAGTCACTAGTGGCGTCCCCCAGGGCTCGGTGCTGGGGCCGGTCCTCTTTAATATCTTCATCAATGATCTGGACGAGGGCATTGAGTGCACCCTCAGTAAGTTTGCAGATGACACCAAGTTAGGTGCGTGTGTCGATCTGCTTGAGGGTAGGAAGGCTCTGCAGGAGGATCTGGATAGGCTGCACCGATGGGCTGAGGTCAACTGCATGAAGTTCAACAAGGCCAAGTGCCGGGTCCTGCACCTGGGGCGCAATAACCCCAAGCAGAGCTACAGGCTGGGAGATGAGTGGTTGGAGAGCTGCCTGGCGGAGAAGGACCTGGGAGTGATGGTGGACAGTCGGCTGAATATGAGCCAGCAGTGTGCTCAGGTGGCCAAGAAGGCCAACGGCATCCTGGCTTGTATCAGAAACGGTGTGACCAGCAGGGCTAGGGAGGTGATCGTCCCCCTGTACTCGGCTCTGGTGAGGCCGCACCTCGAGTACTGTGTTCAGTTTTGGGCCCCTCGCTACATGAAGGACATCGAGGTGCTTGAGCGGGTCCAGAGAAGGGCGACGAAGCTGGTGAGGGGCCTGGAGAGCAAGTCCTACGAGGAGCGGCTGAAGGAGCTGGGCTTGTTCAGCCTGGAGAAGAGGAGGCTCAGGGGCGACCTTATCGCTTTCTACAGATACCTTAAAGGAGGCTGTAGTGAGGTGGGGGTTGGTCTGTTCTCCCACGTGCCTGGTGACAGGACGAGGGGGAATGGGCTAAAGTTGCGCCAGGGGAGTTTTAGGTTAGATGCTAGGAAGAATTTCTTTACTGAAAGGGTTGTTAGGCACTGGAACAGGCTGCCCAGGCAAGTGGTTGAGTCACCATCCCTGGAAGTCTTCAAAAGACGTTTAGATGTAGAGCTTAGGGATATGGTTTAGTGGAGGACTGTTAGTGTTAGGTTAGAGGTTGGACTCGATGATCTTGAGGTCTCTTCCAACCTAGAAATTCTGTGATTCTGTGATTCTGTGAAATACATCGACAGTCCTGAAAGAAAATATGTTAACAAAAAGAAATCTTGATCTTCATCGTGGGATATTTTGAAAGCTGTAAGTGTTGATAAAATGTATACTGAGATGTGATGTTCCCACTGGTTTGGGGCAAGCTCTGCATTTAAACAGCACGTGGCTTTAAAATGTTTGAGAAAAGGCACACCAGGCTGATAAAAGTAAAAATATGTCTCACAATTTATTTCCAGCATTTTTTTTCTTTTGAGCAGAGAAAGCTTCTTTAGCAGGTGGACTGTTTTTAACGCATGCAAAAATGGCAAGGTGTGTGCTTCTTCATGCTCAAAGGCATGTCTTAAATCTCTAGTCAGAGCCAGGAAGGCATAGAACCTGGAGAGCACTCAGGAGCTGCTAGTGTAAGTGCATATTTAGGGGCATGCACATGCATTAACCCATGCAGATCCAAGTACTTGACTGGGTTCTTCAAATGGTTCTTCAAAGAGACGCCAGTCTGCTGAGCTTACAGTTGAAATAAATGAAAGATGGGAAAGCTTCATAAAACCCTGCAGTTGCATGTACAACCTCTGCACCAAATATTTGTCTATTTGCTTACTCTCCTACTCTATTTATTTTAGGTGGCATTTGTCAGTTACTTTTACAAGGTCGCTTTCATTATTTACCTATTTCACTGCATACTGAACATGCCACTCTTCTATTAAATTCATTTGTTTACTTGTTTGATTACTTTTGATACTACAAGATCTAACGGAAAAATAAGTTAAGGATGTTGTTTCATTCTAAATGCACATAAACTTCAGAAACAGGCTAATTTGCATCCAGCCATCATTTTTGGAGTGGAAATCAACAAGCTATGATCAGTACCTAAAGAATGATTTTTCTATTTTATAATAATTATTAATTTTAATACTAAAAAGCATTATGCTTCTATGAAAGTTATGTATATTTCACTCTTTAAAGTTTTCTTAGAGAATTATCTTTATATTTATTTTCCATTTAATTACATTTTTTTCAAATTTTTTAACGTTGTTTGTTTTTCTTATAGTCAGAATATTATAGACTTATATTAAAGAAAATATAATGTTTAGTTAAAATCATGGAATCCTAGAATACTCCGAGTTGGAAGGGACACATAAGGATCACCAAGTCCAAATCTTAAAACCATTTCAACAAAATTTTGTTTTCTACTACTATTTTAGATTAAGATTATAAATACAGAGTTAAGCTATTTGGGAAATAGCTTAGTAGTTCCCTTGTAGACAAAATTTTGCTGAAAGTTCATGAGGCAAAGATGCAAAAACTAAGCTCTGTGTGTGTGCATGCGCGTGTGTGTGTTGCTAAACCCTGCTGGTTGTTCAGAACATTTTTTCCACCAACACAACTTAAGTTGTGATGTATTTAATGTATACTTCTTTCCTAATTTCCTGATGAAATAAATGGATCATATTACTTAAGCACATTTTCCTGTTTGGACTCCTAATTAAAATTTAACATTATTTTAAATTATTTTTCTAAATCTTTTAGGAGGTCCAGCTGATGAAGATATTGCTCTTTTTGGTCTTTATCTATTTTAACTGGGTACCGTTGTGATGTGTAAACCTCTGGGCAGCACCATCCTGTAGTGATGGAACAGTAACAAATAGAACAGCACAACTTAATTTTGAATAAAGGTTGTTGTTGTTGTTGTTGTTTTTTTTTTAATAGCCAGGACCACACAATATCTGAGCTCAACATATTAATGTTACGAGTTGTTTCAAGGACTGTGGACTTATTGCTTACTACCATATTTTGTGGGGAAAAACAAAAACAAACAAACAAACAATAAAAACAGTGTGCAAGACTGCACGGTGGTGGTGCTGGGACAGGAGGTTTCCTCAGCCTGGCTGCTGGTTAGCCACGATGGAGCTAAGCTCTGCTTGGTGCTCACCTCAGAGGGCAGTCAAGTAGCCTGGGCTTCCATGGGACATCATGTCTTGGTGCCCTTTAATTAACAAGTGACACTAATGAGAGGTGTGACACCTAGCAAGCTGCGTTCAGCTGCAGGTATAGTTACATGTCCATGCATGGGACTGTTGTGGATGTCAGACAAAATGCATATCACAGCAAGGAAATCCTCCTTGTGTAGAACCATCCTGCTTCCTGATACCTCTGAGTCTTGTCCCCAACCTCTAAATGCTGGAGCTAATGCCAACAGTGCACAGAGCAAGGACCAAAAGGGCTGCTGGATCTTGCTTCCACTGGAGAAGAGAGAAAGGCAAGGACTGACGTGTGCCCCCAATGTATACTGCCTCTTTACATCACCTTTCATGGAGCTTGTTTAACCCTGCTTGCTTAGGAATGATGCACAGCATGAGTGAATTTGGCTCTGGGTTTATTATGGATATCAAAAACAGAAAGGCAAAGAGTATAAAATTAAGTGTATGTTCATAAGAGTATATGAGGGCAAAATTTGTGTTCTGTATTTAACTGAAAGCCAGAAGATGTATGCATATGGACATACACTGACCATCAGATGAGGGCAATACCACCAGCATCAAGCAGTATGTAGTTAATCCCTTTAGCCATAGAACTTATTCCCTTGCCATGCTGCTCCACCACAGGAGACAGCCAAAACCTCTCATTTTTGCATTCCCCTTTTCACTGGTGTTCTCATCTCTGTACCAGCAGCTTAAAGAGTTAATAAAGTTTCATTGCTCTAAAAGGTTATTTTGCAACT